TTTTTTTTTTGTGTTTCGTTTCCAATATGATTATTTTTTAAGCTTTTAAACTTTGGAGTTTTAGAGATTGTGTTTAGCATTTCAAAATCGGTTAAAGGGGGGAATACCGTTGATGGTTTCCCACCTTCTGACCTGGTTTAGTGGTATAATTTTTTTGTCTAAACAAAAGTCTAACTCATTTTAGCCATTGGTTTTTTAAATTAAGATTCCTTTTATCTTGGTACAAAAATCTATCTTGTGCATAATATCCAAAGTTCTTATATATCTCTCAAGTTATTCGAGATATTGCCTTTGCACTGATCATATGATATTTAGTTCTATTTTGTGGTTAGTTCTTCCCTATGTTAGAGAGAGTGCTCCTATTCTCTAATATCTAGAAGATATACTCACAATTAAGAACTTCTTTTAAGAGTTTGCAAAAGAGAATTGAGCTTGCAAAAGATAAAAAGGAAAAGTGGCAAAGACGCCAAAATTGAAATAAAAAGTATATATATACAAATGTGTATAAAAAATCAAAAGATGCTCAAAGAGCCAATCAAAGATTCAAGAGGCATAAAATGAACCCACTAAAAAGCAAACTATCCTCTCTTTTAAAAACTTTTAAAACTTAGAAGAACTGTGTTATGTGAGATTTTTAAAGGCTTGATTTCAAATTCTATGATTGAGAAAAATTACTTTGACATATTATTTATGAGATATTTTCTTTGTAAACAAGTTTTGAATGGATCTTTTTATCCTATTTAGTGATTCTGAGTTAGGCCTCTGTTTTTCAAAAGATAATTTATACCCTGAAGGATGTCCGATTTAGGGTTAACAGAAACGAATATTCTATCTTCTTCCGATTGAAATTTGTTAACCTATTAATCTCTTGAAACTTTAAAGTTTAAATTTTTTAAGAAATTCTCATATGAGTTGCTTTGATTAAAAAAAAATTGGCTTCTTTTTCAAAATGTTTGTTATCGTTATTCGTTTTTCTTTTCTTATGCTTTTCTTTTATTTTATTTTTGAGGGCTTTGATCATCACCATCCTTCATTGTTTTTCAAATTCTAATCACATCGTTCTGGTCGATACTTTTATTGTCCTGGACGATAGGGCAAATTATCTTCAAATTTCTATCTGCTGAACTTTTTCTGTGCTTGCTATAATTCTTCATCCTGGACGATACTTTATCATCCTGAACGATCTGATCAAACTCTGTTGCGATCATGATGATAGTCCTGGCCGATAACCTATTTCATCCTGGCCGATGCATTTTATGGTCATCGTCCTGGCCGATATACTAGATCGTCCTGGACGATCCACGTATCAGCACGTTTAAAATCCTTAAAATCGGCCCTGGACGATCCATTATTGGACAATCGTCCTAGACAATCCACTGTTCGTCCTGGACGATACACGTGGCACAGATTTAAAATGTTTTAACTTCGGCCGGTACGATCAATTATTGTGCATCATCCTAGACGATACACCTAATCGGCCCGGACGATCTACTTTTTCAAAGGTCGTCCGGCTTGACTCCTCGGGACGTTCGCTTGTGTCTAATCGTCCTGGCCGATATCTGATCGGCCCGGACGATCAGATCGCTTTTTTGACCAATCAGCATGTACGCAATTATTGTACCGTATCGTCCTGGTCGATTCTATAATCGGCTTGGACGATATGGCCGTTTCTTTAAATTCTGGCCGTTCCAGCCATGATTTTCACTTCACATCCCTTCTCCTCTGGTGTTTTCTTGCTAACGGCTTTCTATGACTGGTGGGAAATGTGCTCGACAAACTTCTGGGAATTCCTCGAGGGCCACTCTGGACCCTCGATTTAGGGAGGCAGAGGATTAGGCAGCTTACTGTCGCTATAAAGAGTGTGGCATTACCCTTTCCAGAACAATCAATCCTGCACACCTCTCGTATCCGTTAATGGATCTATTTGCCCACACTTCTCATTGTTTCATACTCACCCTCGCTGTCCCTTTTTCTTCTGAACTCCTGCTAGAATTTTATGCAAATCTTTGCATAAATTCTACTTTCACATCCCTGACCTCTTATGTGAATCGACACCCGGTCGAAATCACATATCAGGACTGTGCGGAGCTTTTACAGCTATTCACCACCAGGGATAAGCTGCACATAATCGTCACAGATCCTGATTTTGATTGGTCCACGACAAATCATTTTCTTTGCCAAACCAACACACCCTTTCATGTTGGAGAGACTAGCTCTTTAGTCAAATATTCTAGGACAATCCAATATGTCCTTCGCACCTCCATAATTCCAAAAGCCGGGGACCGAATCCACATCACTCCTCTACTTTCCTTGACTACCTTTTTTATTATGGCCCGGAGAGAATTTAATGCCACTGATCTACTCTTTCGTTACATTGATCACTTAACAACTATTCGTGATCCAGGCCATAGGAGGAAACCCAACCTTATTTTAGGACATCTCATAGCCTACATTCTTGAAACCAAATACAATCTTCAATATCCTACTCATCACGACCTTCAGCCTCCTTGCTACTCAAATAATTCTTTCACTATCCTTCATAGTACCTCCACCCAGGAGATAGGGAAGGTCGGGGGGCTGAGGAGGAGGAGGCTCCCGCTCCCGCTCCTGTTCCTGATCCTGTTCCTCTCCACCTGCACTCACCTTTTGATCATTTGATAAAGAGGTTTAATCGATGGGAGACCCATTTTGACGCTTACGTTGCTGCATAGGAGCAACAACATTCTGAGGATAATGCCCGCTACGAGCAGCACCACACAGAGGATTTAGCCCGTTTTGATAGCTACATTACTCACCAGCAGCAGCAACATGACCAGGACATCGCCTGGTTCAATGCTCAGTTTATTACGCTTGCCAACTACTTTCAATAGCCACCTCCACCACCTCCATCTGATGATCAGGGTCCCTCATTCTTCTAGTATCTGTTCTCTGTTTTCTATTTTATGTTTTTTGTTTTATTTTATGTTGTGTTGTTTACTTTTTCTTTTGTGTGTCTAGGACCCTCTTTTTGTGATGACAAAGGGGGAGAAGGATGTGGTAGGAAAAATTGATGTGTTTATAGCTTTGAAATTTTAATGAACTGCTGTTTTTACTGAGCTTTTCCTACTTGTGTTTGTCATCATCAAAAAGGGGAAAATTATTACAAATCTATTTTTCTTGTCTTATGTTTTGATGATTGACAAACACTTTTAACTCTCTTAAACTGCCTGTTACTTCTAACTTTTCAGGAATCGAAGAAGCTAGTTCAAGATTGTGTAGGTTTAGGGTTGAGTCAGTCTGTACTTTATTTTTTCTCTTCTTGAGTCTATTTGTAATGATCAAAGAGACTGATGCTAAGTAACCCTACACACACACACTTGAGAGACTTAGAATTTATGTTTTTACTCATATCGGCCAGGACGATATTTACATCGTCCTGGACGATCGGGCTTAAAACAGAAAATCTAAACAAGGATTCTTAATTAAGGCAGTCGTTATTAACAGATCGTCCTGGACGATACGTGTATCGGCCAGGACGATAAGCTCAAAATAGAAAGAAATTGCCGCCATAGACAATTAATGTATTATGTATTTTTTAATAATCGATCAGGACGATCATTCATCGGCCTGGATGATATTCACAAATTATGCCTTAATTAGGAAATCAAGGGAGTAATTAAGGATGATTTATTTGATCATATCGTCTTGGACGATCGCAGGATCGGCCAGGACGATCTATTCAAAAACCTTAGTTACTTATGGATGATAAATATCGGCCAGCTCAAATTCAGGGCGATGCTCTGGACGATTTTCCTCTGATTTGAACTGATCGACCGGGACGATCAAGCTAATTTTAAATCATCCAGTTTGCATTCAGGGCGATGCTATGGCCGATCTTCTGAGATTTGTACTGATCGTCCAAGACGATATTGTCGGCAACTTGCAATTAATGAGCTCCTTTGAATCTCTTCTATTTAAGAGCTCTTGTTCAACATTTTGAACAATCTTTTGCTGCTGTCTTGACCTGAGAAGGCCTTGAGGAGAGAAAGAGAGAGAGGGAGAGAGAGAGGACCTTGTGAGGGGGAGCTTGTGAGGGGATTCACAAGGGTTGCTTCAAGGATCGCTCTGCTTCTTCTTCGTCTAGAGTTTCTCATCCGTGGAAGGGTCGGTAGAGGTAAGGAGTCAGCATCTGATTGTGGTTCTCTGCCAGCTTCAGGAGGAAGCAAAAGGAGATAGGTTCTCTGCCTTGTCGGGGTGGCAAAAAGAGGTTCGTTGTAAAGGCTTCTCCGCCTAGCTATGGGGGCTAAAGGAGAGTCACGATTGTAGTGCAATACTCGGAGGGCGCCTCCGGGGAGTGGACGTAGGTCGAGTTGACCGAACCACTATAAATCTCTGTGTTCTTGTTTCTTGCTTCCGCACTTTAATTTTCGCATTTATTTTTCTCGTGGTGTGATTTTGGTTTAAGTGATCTTTTGCTCTTTGTGAAAAGAAAATTTTTAAAATACCAATTCACCCCCCCACCCCTCTTGGTTAGCTTGGGACTAAGTTCATAAGGGCTTAACATCCCTAACGAATTTTCATTATGACCATCAGTTAATTCAGAATTCTTCTTATTTAAGATATCAAATTCATTTAACAAAGCCACGTGATTACTATCCAGAGTGAAATAAACTTTTCTTAAGCATTCATGCTCTTTTTACAGAATTAAAAAATTAGATTTAAGGATGCCATGTGATTTTTTAAGCTTCCAATATGCAATAAGAATTTTTTTAGAAACTTTAAATAATTAATCATAGGTAAGATCGCATACCTCATCTTGATCAGAATGTTCAAGATAATTTTTTTACCTTTAAGCATAGGTTATTTACCTCTTCTACTTTAATTTCAAAGGAGTCTGATACTGAATATGCCTAGAAAGCTTTTTGAGTTCTTTGCTTGCTCTTATATATATATATATATATATATATATATATATACTGCAAACTGTTATGAATTATATATATTAACTGATTCTACTTTTTCCTGCCTTTAAAAAACTCCATTTGGATTGATATACACTGGTTTTAATTTATGAATTGAAACATTCAAATCATGAATTGTTATAATTTAATTTTTTTTTTTAAGATAATGCAGATGAGACTCCCTATTTAAACTTCATTTTGATGGCGTAAATTCATATCCATTACCATTTCATTAGCACTGCATCCATGGTTATGAAGAGCAGTTGCAAGCATCTCATCTTCTTTCTTCTATGCCTCTTCCTACTCCTCGGCTTTATCTCTGCTAAAGTTCACTATCATGAATTTGTTGTATGTCTTCTTCCTTTTTTTATATATATCATATTCATCTCAAAATCAAATTAATAATTTATAATTTTATTATGACTTGATTTTTTTTTTCTTATTTTAACTTGTAATAGTTTTTGGTGACTTGAATTTATTATGTAAATATAAGATTCAAGAGAAGCAAGTGAAGAGGCTGTGCAATACCAGCACGATTATTACAGTGAATGGACAATTCCCAGGGCCAACTCTGGAGGCTAATAATGGAGATAGCCTCGTGATCAAAGTCGTGAACCGGGTCAAATATAATATCTCCATTCATTGGTATGAGAATATTATATGCTTTATTCTTTTTCTCTATAAGCAATTGTATTTAACATGTTTATTTTCTCTAATAATTTTATTGGATGGTGGACCTATTACATTACAGTTAATTTAAAAAAACCATTTGATTTTAAATCTGTTACAAAATATTTTTTTTAAACATTGTTGAAAAAATATGTTTGATATATATATACTTATATATAGAGACATACGTATACATACAAACATATATAAAAACATATATGTGCATACATATATGTATGTTTGTGTTCATAAATAATAATAATAATAATAATAATAATAATATGTGTGCGGTCATTAATATAATATTTTAATAATCTGTACATATTTATTTATATTTGGTATTTAGCTTTTATTTATAGGCATGGCTTGAGGCAAATGAGAAATGGATGGGCAGATGGGGTTGCATATGTGACCCAATGTCCTATCAAATATGGGGGAACCTACACATATAGGATCAATGTCGAGAATGAAGAGGGGACATTTTGGTGGCATGCTCATAGCCCTTGGCTGAGGGTCACTGTCCATGGTGCCCTCATTATATACCCAAAAGAGAATTCCTCCTATCCTTTCATCCAACCACAAAGAGAGGTTCCGATCATTCTTGGTATGAAAAATATACTATTCATTGAAATATTGTTTATAAGTCTATTGAAAAAAAAAAAAAAACTAAATTAGGCTATTTTTATACAAGTATCATTGATATATCTTTCAATAGCCTGAACAATTCATATAAAAATCATTAAAATTTGTTATTTTTATTATGAAGAATATTATTATTGTATTCCTTTTTTCTTCAATGTTTTATGGCAACACAAGAAACTTAATATAATACATTTTTTAAAAATTTAATATAAATGTATTAAAAATGTTTAATTTCATAAATTTTGGATCAAAGAAGAATTAAATGTCGCAATTATATATATATGTATGCAAAACACTCACATACAAATACTTTTATAGTTAATAAAATATTTCCCAAGCAAATAAGATAATAACAATGGTGGCAATATATGGCAGGAGAATGGTGGATTAAGAACTACATTCAAATGGCAAAGGCAGCCTTAGAGATTGGAGTACCCCCAAAGGTCTCTGACGCCATTCTCATCAATGGCCAGCCAGGTGATCTATTCGAGTGCTCTAGCAAAGGTATGGTCTGATATTCAAGTTTTATATAATAGTAACAAAATTAGTAAATACATTTGATTTTTTATCATGCAATAAATTTTTTCATAAATGACATGCGACCTTACTAATAGATCAAACCCGAGCGTGAGTGAGTGACCTGATCACCTGTGGAGAATGGAGAGAGAAAGGCAGAGAGAAAAGAGTAAAAAAACATGTAAAATACTCAAGAAACTATGAGCCTCAAAATTATTAGAGTATCTACCATGTTAGTCAAAAAAATCCCCAAACTATTCTTCATTATCCTTTATTTATAGTATCTTGAGGGCTACATAGAGCAAGAGTAAAAAAAGTATACCACTACATAGAATACACATACTATGCTACATGCCAATATGGACACATGTTTCTCCTGATTTGCTGAAGGAGGGTGATCAGGTCAGCAAAGCTTCGGCTAGTTGCATCCAAGTGAGTCTAGTTGTGCTGAATGGACTAGGACGAGTATGCTCATGCAAGTATGTGAGAGAGTACTGAGATGAAAAATGATTAATAATTGACAAGTTGGTTAACATGGCCGACAACTTGTATGGAAGCTTTGGGATTACTTAAGAAGAGAAGGGCAAGTAGAAATTGTCACGGAAGGGAGAGATCTGTCTTTTTTTTTTGGAAAGGATTTTATTTATTTCAATAGAAGAAAAAAGCTTACCAAGCAAGGCCAAAAAGCACAACTAAAACAAAAAATTACATTAAACGATAGATTGCAAAGCAACCTGAAATAAAAGGAAACAAAAAGCCCCAAAGGCTTCCGGACTCAATTAAGCCACCTAGTTGTCAGGCTTGGACCATCCTAACAGATAAAGAAGCAACAACCATAACCGAATACACACAAAGCCCCCAAAAAATTGAGCAAAAGGCCACCAAAACCTAGGTATAATCAACCACCAAGGTTGTCAAACAAGCCAAGTCCATCCTAGGTGCAAGTAGGAAACCTTCCTCATAATTGTTCGATCTCGTAAATCCGACTAGCCAAGTAAAAAGCATCCAGTAAACAGCGTCCAACAAACCCACAACCAAGTAGATAGCCTCCAGATCCATCAGGTAACCACAAAAATTATCGGCCAGCAACAAGCCCGGCAATGAAATAGAAATGGCAAAGGAGTATGACAACACAAGAAAGCCACAACAACATCTTACGTTCTTTTAGCTTTTCTCCTACCCCTTTTGTCACCTCCACAACAAAAGACTTTATCAACTATGTGTCCAACATTCAAGCTATACACCTCCACCGGATCATCCCATTCATCCCCAAAACCCTTGCCAGGCAATGAAACATAGCCCTTCAGCCAATCAGAGTGACCCAAGGAAGGATCCAAAATGTCCAATTGAGCATTTAAAGCTTTGCTAGATATAAGAGAAATTGGAACATCTATTAACGACTTGTTTCCAACTGGTTTAACACTATTAGGTGATAATTCATTTTCCAAAGAAGTTAGAGGAGAAACCTCATTAACAATGGAAGAAGATCCATTCAACATAGTCGTATTAACAAGACAAAAGTCTTTCTCTAACAACATTAGGTGAAGTAGCCGTTTGAATAGGAATTACATCTAAATCACACCCCACACCTGTCGGTTGAGCAGAACAAGCTTGATCCAATAAAGGAGAATCACAAAGATTCAAGCCATCATCAGTTAGGGCCAAACCCCTATGATCTTTTTCCAACACAGAACCAAGAATAGGAGTAGTCATAGGGTTCGAAGAAAATAATTAAAAAGCCTCGGATGAATGACCGATCGACATCACCATCAACCAAAGGACCCAAATAACCCATCACACCAACATCTACATTATCATTCAAAGATAAAACAGCACCACCATTATATTGGGCATTCCAAAGCGCATCATTAGAAGGTATAGCACTCAAATTTGCATTAGGGTTAAGAAAGTGTGAAACAGACAAACTTCTATCATTGCTAATATTATCCCTAGGTGCATGGTCCTTAACATCGGGAGAATAAAGATGAGCACTTTCTTTCTTGGAATGACCTAGAGATTTATAATGATCACAAAAGGATGTAAACTCATCCATCACAACCCTTTGAATATAACCAAAACTTTATGGGCCTATTCAAACATTATTAGGATAACATTTCGTTATGTAAAGCTCCACCAACACGTTAGCAACTGACGGACAATAGCCAACTGTGTGGTGGTAGCATCCATATGAAGGGGACGACAAAAAATAGAGCCCAAACCATAAAGAATACGGGGTGTAAAGAAATGAGGGCGGAGGTTCGGGAATGAATCCAGACTGGAACAATGGGGGATTCATCCGCAATATCCACAAAAGGAGACCGTTTAGTTAGTTTTATGAAATAGTTACTCACAAAATAAGAATAATCAGCAAAAACATGACAATAATCCAAATCACAAGCCAAGTTTATCAAAACATGATGAGAGTTCAGCAAGGTGACGGAGAACTCTCCAATCAATTTTAGATTAAAAAAAACTTCCTAATCACATCCAAAGATTATCGTCGATTAGGGAAATAATCGACAAGAGAAAATGAAAAAGAGGTGGCAAGTGTAAGAACTTCATTATCCAAGATCCACAGAGCATGTAGCCCTTGAAAGAAGGTGGTTTTGAGGTCCGCAAAAGAAACCGACAAGGGAGTCCTCGCAAGGGCATCAAGAAACGAATGTGAGGAGGATTTGCCATTCAAAAAATCAGGGGTCAGCCAACCGAGCTTGATTAACTACCATTGCTGAAGCAAGGTGGAACAATCAAGACAGAAGGCATAAGAAAAAAAAAACACACTAGAAAACATGACAAAAGAAAACCAATAATGAAGAAGAAAGACTTCCCTGAGGGCAACCGCCCTCGATAGGAACCAGGAGCAAAAACCCTAACAGACGGAGCAAGATGCATATAGAAAATATTGCAACAAATCAATATCCTTACCTATCCCAAAATTTGAGGGATCTGTCCTGAATGGTCACAGCAAATTGAACTAGGGGTCCCATTAGTAGGTGTCTTTATATAGTTGAGTTTGATGAAAATATTCATTTGTTATGACCCATAAGCTCCTACTAAACATTTGTAAATGCATATGCAATCATACAATTATATTATAATTATATATTAATTTGGGTCCATATCAATAATGCATTGATATTTAATTATAAATTAACATTTATCAATTTTTCATTCACATGTTCAATTAAATAAAAATTTAAAATGAATACATTTATTTGCTATATATGACACCATAGTCCTTAAGAGATTAAATTTAAATACTTAAATTTTTAATTGATCAAATAAAAATTTTTATCTCATTTTTTCTCTCCTTTATTTGTTTAATATTTTTGAGGTGCCCACATGGCAATAATGAGAGCATCTCTTGTCAGAATTTTATTTTATATAGACATTTCATATTTATTTATTCTATATACTTATTATATAATATCTTCATTTTAATTTTATATAAAAATATATATTAAAACTTAAGGGCCATTTGTTCTTTCATATTCTCAATCAAATATTAAAAAAACAAAAAAAAAATTCAGATATTTTAAATTTATCAATTTTTAATATTTTAATTAAAAAGTTGTTATTTGCGGTGCAGAAACTACTGTAATCCCGGCGACCACCGGCGAAACCCTACTCCTCCGCTTCATCAATGCCGCAATGAACACCGAGCTCTTTGTTTCCATCGCCGGCCACACCATGAACGTAGTCGCCATCGATGCTTCTTACACCAAACCCTTCAACACCTCCTACATAATGATCGCCCCCGGTCAATCCACAGATGTACTAATCCAGACAACCCATTACCATGGCCGCTTTTACATCGCCTCCCACGTTTTCAACAGCATTTTGCCCTTTATTGGCCTAGACAACTCTACGGCCACCGCGATCCTCAACTACGATACCATTACACCTACCAAGCCTCTCTTGCCCCTGCTTCCCATCTCCTCCAACAGATCTTCGGCCTCGGCTTTTGGTTCGAGACTCCGAAGCCCTAGGAGAGTTATAATCCCCGAACCCATAGATGAAAATCTCTTCATCGTCGTCAGGATTGGTCTCATTGAGCGTGATATAGCTGCTAGTATGAACAATGTCTCCTTTATGCTTCCCAAAACAAATTCGATTCTTCATGCAGCACTATTCCATGAGTATGGTGTTTTCACGACTGATTTCCCATCTTCCCCGCTGGAGAAACTTAACAAAACGATAAAGGGGACTAGGATTTATAAGATGAAGTATGGATCGGTGGTTCAGATGGTGTTGCAGGGAAGTAATATCCTGTTGACGGAAGAGCATCCGATGCATTTGCATGGGTATGATTTCTATGTGTTGGGGACGGGGATTGGAAAATTCAAGAAGAAGAGGGATGAGTATAAGTTGAATATGGTGGATCCGCCGAGGAGGAGTACGGTGGGAGTGCCGGCGGGGGGCTGGGTGGTGATAAGGTTTGTGGCGGATAATCCGGGTGTTTGGTTTTTGCATTGTCACAATGAGATGCATACAGAATTCGGGCTGGCGACAGCAATATGGGTAGAGAATGGGGTTGGGGAGATGGAGTCTGTTATATCTCCACCTGATGATCTTCCGCAATGTTAACGGTGATGGAAGATCATATGATGGAGGCATAGGCATAACCATCATACCAATAAAATGAAGTATATAATGCCTTCATCGGAGCAGACAATTTGTATTAGAATGGGCTTAAAAATTATTGGACTTAGCTTTGAGATTAATGTAATAGAAATTCTATATCTATTTAGTAATAATCTCAGACTAATTCCTATGATAGATTATCAAGACAAATTTTTTTCCTTTGAATTTCAGTAATGTAATTTTAAAACACTATGTTCAAGTTTCAATTGATGTTGCTACTTAGTAATCAAAGTGGGAATTTATTTTAGATGACTGACAGTTTTGATCATTTTTATGAAGTTTTTTATGTGAATGAAAAATATACTTTTTGTATAATATGATGATGATGATGACTGAAAAAGAAAAAAATTGGCCATGCTTGACAAATGTTGACAAACCTAATTTTAGTTATAATCCACCAAGATGAATTCTTAAGAGAATATAATACTGGAATTCCATTTCAAAGAAGGATGCTTACAATATATATAAAACTTTCTAATTATGAACCTGATGGAGAAATCCAAAAAGACAAGATTGCAGAGTCATAGAAAATGAAATGACATACATGCATAATACTTGACCAACAATAGACTAACATATGATTAGAAGAATTTTAAGTGCATGTGTAGAGTCAAATTGCCTTTCCCACTTGATGGATGATGACTAAATTCATGAATGATAAGATTGGGGCAACCCTAATTCTCCTTAACCTTCGATTGCATCTTACAAATGACCAAAATGGCCTTCATTTGGATATCCCAAGCTAGTTTGAAAGAAAAGCAACGAATTGTCATGTAAAAGGTGGTGATATATGATTTAACACTCGCACAACCATCTCTTTCTATCCTAAAGCACTTGAAATAAAAGTAAAATACATGATCATAATGGGAATAACATGATTAAATGAAATTTAACATCAAAATGAAAAACTGTCATAAAATATAAGAAAATATAAATATATTTTTCTCATGCAACATTTGTGGAGGCGGCCATACATTTAGTTATAGCAATGCCTTCTATGTAATCGTAAGAAAAGAGAGAAAAAGTTAGATGCTCTTTCAACAAGATTGTTGGAAGATGACCACTCAATCTTTATATAATAATTCAAATTAGTCATTACAAGCATAGTTTATAAGAATGATTGAATCATAGTAAGAACTAATACTAGTAGCTATCTATCCCAATAACTTCTTATATAATTTGCACAAAATAAAGAGACATTATAAAGGAGTTATGAACACAAGGGAGGAGAATTTTATAAAAGAACAAGGACAAATATTAAAAAATGTAAGAAAAATGTTTCAGAAAAGAAATCCAACAAATAGAAGAATGTTAAATTTATCCTACCAACAAAATGACATCAGGACCATATTTTTTTTTGAAAGAAATGCATTTATGCATTAGAACTTGAAAGAAAAAGAAGTTATTACAACTTAATCAAATCTAACGAATCAAATTTGTCCTTCAAAATTTGAAAGAATGGAGGAATTTCAATGTTAATTAGATCATGCCAAATGAAACTTTTTCTTAAAGCTAAATTAGCTAAACAATCCGCTAATTTATTACAATTTCTAGTAGTAAAGCTAAAAGATACTTTATTAAAATCTTTAATGAAGGATAACTTATCTTCAATTATTCCTTTCTTCTTTAAGTTCCTCAAAGCTTGTTGAAGAGTCTTGATGATGTTGATGTTATCTCCTTCAATAATAATTCCTTGTGCTTCCAACATCCAATCTTGTATGACATCTTTTATCATGAATACTGCTTGTAGTTCCAGTTGACCGATGTCCCAATGCACATATTGAGTTCCAAATGCAAGTAACATCCTTCCTTTGTCATCTCTGCAAACTCCAACAGCTTCGGCTGAGTGATTGCTGCTTAATGATGCATCCACATTGAATTTTATCCATCCGGGTGGAGGAGGATGCCAAGAAGAAAACATCTTATGCTGATTGACATTCCAGTTGTCCATTTGGATATTGATTGCTGGTGTTACAACAGCCATAGATATAGAGTTGAATGCAATAGATAAGTCTGATTCTTCCCTTCCTTCATGAATCAGCAGATTTCTGCTTTTCCATACAAGAAAAACTGCAGTGCAATAGATGTTTACTACCAATGGATTCTTACTTGACATCCTCTCCAATTCTTTTAAACAATCATTAAAGCATCCAAATTGTTTTCTTCTTTATCACATCCTCTCGGACAACTGCTACTAGAAATTAATTTTCTGTGAAATAAGAAAGAGAAGCTTGGGATAGCTTCCTTGTGCATTCTTCACCAAAACAGCTCTACCCTTGGCCTGAGCTTGATTTTCTTCAACCATTTATATAATTACAATTTGCATCATCTTAATAAATTGAATCCTGTGAGATTGCTGCCATAGAGCGACCAGTTGCTTTCCATTTTAATTCAATTTGATCCGATCCTTGATCTCTATATATAGGAGTTTGTAATATGAGATCAATTAGCTGCCTTCCAAAGAACATTTGAAGATGCTCCATGTTCCATTTGCCATTAGGTTGTAATTGCTAATTTTCATGTTGCTTACAAATGTAGGCGATTTGGATATATTTCTATCCAATATCCAAGCATCATTCATCCATTTAATAGAATCCCCATTGAAGATTCTCCATCTCACAATATTTGTAAGATATTTAGCTCCATTACACAATACTTTCCAAGTAGAAGAGCTCCCTTTCATTCCCTGCTTCTTCCATAAATCATCTCCATATTTAGCTTTTAGGATGCAATTGTGTTAGGTTTCCGGCTTCATATATAATTCCCAAGCAAACTTATCCCTTAGATGACCCACTTTGGCAACCGCTGAAAAAAGACCTCTTCCTCCTTCTTGTTTTGGTTTACATAGCTCCTTCCAAGAGACAAAATGCATTCCCAAATTCCCATTCTTCTTATTCCACAAGAAAGCTCTACACATTTTATCAAACTCCTTTAAGATTCCCAAAGGCACCAAGGAAAGAGTTGATAGAAAAATTGGAAGAGATAAGAAGGCTGATTTTAACAAGACCATTTTACCTTCCAATGAGATAAAATTCTTTCCCCAAATATTCAGCATTTTTAAAGCAACTTTCATGATTTTATTGAAGTCCGAGTTTCCCAACCTCCTTAACATAATCTTTATACCAAGAGAGTTCATTTCTTTAACAGATCTGAACCTTAATACATTTTCAATTTCTTTCTTCCTCCTTTTGTTCACTATTTTACCGAACACCATCATAGATTTTTTGAAATTAATCATTTGACCGGTCCATTTGCAATAGTTGTTCAAACTCTTTTTAATTTTTTTGATCTTCTTCAAGTTGGCTTCAGAAAATACTAGAATATCATCCGCATAAAGCAGATGAGACACTCTAGGTGCTTTAAAAACAATTTGAATACCCATCTTCTTTCCACTTTGATAAAGAGCATCCGATAAGATTTGGGAACACAATATAAAAAAAATGGGGATAGAGGACATCCTTGTCTAAACCCACTCCTAGCTTCTATCCAATTTGATTTGTTCCCATTGATCAATAAGCAAAATTTTGGATCTAAAATGCAATTCATGATTAAATCCGAAAATTTGCTAGGAAATTTAAATTGAAGAAGAACTTGCCTCAAAGCTTGCCACCCCATGCTATCATATGCCTGTTCCATATCAACTTTGATGGCCAAAAATCTTTTCTTAGCTTTAGAGTGTCGGATTTTGTTGAAAACCTCTTGAGCCAAGAGAACATGATCTGTCAATGATCTACCTTTAAGGAAAGCCACTTGATCATTCGAAATAACCTTGTGAATAACCATCTCCAATCTATTCATCAACATTTTAGTTACTAATTTATAAGTAGTCATGCATAGGCTAATTGGACAAAAGTTTGCTGGATAACTTGAATTTTGCACTTTAGGAATTAGCACTATCAATGTTTCCTTCCAATTGTGATGCATAATTTCTGTTTTGAAAAACATATCAATAGCATTCCAAACATCATATTGAATTACCTTCCAGAAGCATTTTATAAAAGAGAATGTAATTCCATTAATGCCCGGTGAGATGTTCTTCCATAAGTTGTTCACCACTACTTGAAGCTCCTCCTTGGAAAATTCTGCATCTAGTTTGAGTTGATCTTCTCTATCCAAAACAGCAAAAGGTTTTGGCCATCCTTCCACCATACAGTTTCTGTGTCTCCATTTAGCTTTGAAAAAGTTTGAGAAAATACATTCAATTTCATTGAGCTGATCCGTGAATACACCATCTTCATTTTTGACATGTTTGATCCAGTTTGAGCTCCTTCTAGCATTTGCAAAGGAATGAAAAAAAAAACTGAATTTGAGTCGCCTTCCTCCAACCACCTAACCTTGGCTCTTTGTCTCCACCAAATATTCAGTCTTGCTAAAGTGCAATTTAACTCATTTACCTTTGTCCGGAGCAGCATCAGCTTTTCCTCATTGAGCATCCCATCAGCCTCTTCAAGTTGTAAATCATAGATTTCTTTCTTCAATGGATCTCTTAACACATTTAAACACTTAAATTTTGCCTTGCTCCAATAGAATAAGGCCTTAAGAGTTCTTTTAAACTTAAAGTTCAGTGAATTGGCTGGATCACTTCCTCCACCCTTCTTCCATGTACTTTCTACAATAGCAAAAGCCCCATGATAGGTTGCCCACACATCTTCAAACCGTATACCTTTGTAGTGAGACTCCACCGGTTTGAACACCTCTAGAATAATTGGACAGTGGTCTGAAGCTATACGAGACAAATGCTTCACCCTGGCTAGATGAATAGAATTCATTGCAAAAGAGTTAATAAGACATCTATCCAATCTTTCTAAGATATGTCCTCCTCATGTTTTGTTATTACAACAAGTGAATTTGGGTCCAACAAACCCAACTTCATGGAAGTCGTTGTTGTTCATAAACATCTTCATATCTTTTGCTCCTTGAGAGAATACAATTTTTTTGCCTCCTCTCTTCTCCTCCTGTGATAAGATACAATTAAAGTCTTCCCAAATAACTGCTGGTTTATTATCAGCATACACTTTTTCCAAAATCTCCCATAGAGATTTTCTATCCATCATACTCCTACTCCCATATACTGTGGAAACTAGCCAACATCCTCTATTTATAACTTCAAGATTCCCAATGATGACTTGAGAAGAAACATCCAATACTGAAAAAGACGCAAATTCCTTCCTCCAAAGTGCCAAAATTCCACTCGAAAAGCCATCAGAAGGAACCATAAACGATTCCCATTTGACAC